TGTTTGACACACCTCCTTCTGTTGCTCCTTCTGTTGTTGCTGGATACTCGACGGCGACGACTTGAATCATGCCAGTCTCTGAACTCCCCTCAATTACTTCATGAACCCCGACATATCTCCTCCATATTCGTGAAAATGCTGGATGTGGGGTTGTCAAGGTCAGGGTCATTTGCTTCTTCCCCTTCCTGTACTTTATCTCCAACTCCACTTTCATCCAGTATCTCTCCACTTAGCTGCCCTATCATTTCATCTCCCAAAACAATGTCCTGCTCGGACAGATCGAAGACCGAAGACGTCTTCAAATTGAAAAGTATCGCCATCTTCACCAAGTTCTTCATTAGGTTCTTGTACAATTTGTAAGTCACCATCTGGGTCTTCGTCTTCGCTGGATTGGCCAGTCAAACATTTAGGGGTTTCTGTCTTTTTTTCAACTCATTTTTTAGCTCGACAAGTTCATCAACTGTCTTTCTCCATATGTCAAAGAGAGATTGGTCGGCAAGAGAACTGACATGTACAACGTGTTTAGAGGAAGCTAAGTGCCCTCACTACGGGCTAGGAACCATCACTGTAGAAAAAGAAGCACTACCGATTCCTGAAGCCTGCTGTTCTACCAGTATCTTTTTATTTTCGCTAGCCTATTTATTTTCAATATACTTAAAATTTGGTTTAACTTTAAAAAAAATGTTAGTAATAATCTATAAAAGTTAGAATATGACTCACACATTTTAGATCCTTAAGCATGGATATGTAAAAAAACTTGAGGTCACTTAACTACATAAAATTTTTTTAGTACTAAATTTTTTTTATTACAAATGTAACATTTTTACAATAGTAAATATTTTTTCTTAACACAGTTTGCAGGAAATGTACCAACTTAACGGCCAAGTAAAAAACTAAGATATGAGGAGGTCTACTCTGATTCAGAGGAAGAAACTTCTCAACTCGAACTTCTGAAATTTGAAGAAAATAAATCTGATAAAGAGGAGCCTTTATGCAGTTCTAATTTAGAAATTCATGATTGGTGCCTTGTAAATTATGATAATGAACTTTTCCCTAGTGAAATACTGCAAAATCTTATTCAAATCAGTATTAAGTTAGCTGTATGGTAAAAGCTGTGAAATATTGGAAATGGCCTTCAAAACCAGATATTTTGCTATATTCACTTGAGGATAAAAAGTGTAAATTTTCACCACCACATGTGGTAAATGCTCGAGGACATTTTAAATTTGAAAAACTGTTAAAAAGAATTGAGTTTTGCTAAAAGGTTTTCCAACGTATTATTTATTTTAATTTCAGTGTGCAGCACTTTTTAGACTAGTGTTGAATATGACTCAAAGTTAAGCGGTCTATATTTTTTATGAGGTTGTATATAATTCTGACAGCAGGTTTACCTTACTGATTGTAGAAGCTCTAAAGTGTTAACTTGCCCTGATACAAGATATAAACACTGGTGGTGATAAAAAGTACCCAAGGTATTTTATGGTCACATGTTCTACGCAACATTTAAAATGCATGTTAATTCAAATGTTATTATGTTCATTTAACTATAAAGTTAAGTTTAATAAAGATATCAACTTCAGTTCAATGGTCTCTTCATTCCAACTTTCATCAAGCTTATTTTTAAATACCTAAAAACTAGTTTAAGGAACAATCAAGTAGCATTATATCACCTCCGTGAAAAAGTCTCTCACCTCCGTGACAGTGGAAAATTTTAAAACCAAATAACTCGCAAATACTTGGTACACTTTGTAACCATAGTTGCCACTATATTTGTCAGGTATTTTTCCAACAAGTGCATACCAAAAAAAGTGAAACTAAAAAAAAATTTAATACAAAAATGCGACCTCTAAAATTGCAATTTTTTTGTAGAATGACCCACTATTAAAAAAATAACACAAATTTTACGTTGGAAAAATTAACCAAACATAGTTCATAACCTTTTTTAACCTTAAAGAATCAAATAGCACATAAGGTAGTTAAAATGCTTCAGTAAACACAGTTATATCTACATAACCAAAGTTTAATAAGCAATATTTTTCACTAAATTTCAAGTAAAATTTTAAGATATTACAAATTAGCTTTACCTTTATAGAATCAACATCCAATTGTGTTCCCTCCAAACTCAACTATTGCACAACTACTTTTGCTGGTTGGAGAAGATCTGTCAGTTTTTTTTCTGTTGCCAACTGAGGAAAACAAAATTTCTCTCATTTTCTCCAAAGTCACCCTACTGCCCAAAGACACCCGATTTTATTCATGTTCTCTTTAACACCTTAACACCTTTAACACCTATGTCAAAATGCATGTTCTCTTTAACACCTTTCTGCCTCTCAACAACACACACTTTTAATTATCTCCTTTGGTGATGTTTCTGAAATAAGCTTCAAAACCTTTAGCTTGTTGACACATAGATTCATGTTTTTATGAATTACACAAGCAGGTATGCATTATGCAAGTCTTTCACTACTGGTTTGCCAATCTAAAATGGACGTAGCCGACAAAATGTTGCGTAGCTTACTTTTTTATACTTTGTGTTTTCCTTCAGACATTCTTTAAGTAAATATCATTCATGTAACGTCCTTGCTTTTTTATTTTGTCTAGTGATTTTGTCTTTTTTGCCAGGAGATAAGCGGCTGTTTTTGTCTCATTCAAGAAAGTCACAGCCATCTTAACTTTTTTAATCGCCCGGTCAATCATTTTCTGGCTGTAATATCCATAATATTGTTTGATTTGTTTATAATGTCATGCTCTTATAAGCAAATCAGATCAGTCAATAACTTATTCATCTGAATCACTCTATCAATAACTGACCACTCACAAGTCACACTAATTGGTGTTTGGAATTTTTTATTTAACTCTTTCCATGTTTTCAGCAACCTGACGCAAAGAGAAGTTTTCTTACGAATCAAGATTTTTTTTCTCACCTTGTTTAAGTAATTGATCAATAGTTTTTCTACATGTTCTCTGAGTCATTGTATTTTGCTTAACTTGTTTGGTTCTGAACCTCTGCAACCTTTTCTTGTATCTATTTAACCATCTTTGTAATTGCTTATATTTTTTTTTCATAAGCTTTCATTTTTCTTTTAGCACTCTCCCTATTTCTCCTTGCAGTCTTTTCCCCAATGGCTTGAGGTACTTAGTTTGCATTTGGAGAATTATTTGGTATGTTAACCTTAACAAAGTTTTTGGCTTCTGTTGCTTTTCTACAGTTGTTGCTGTGTGTTTTCGCCCAAGTACGCCATGTCTTCTATAGTTTTCTTTTTTCTCTTTCACTTAACTGATTAATACTGCGAGCTTTTCCTACTTCTCTTCGCTTATGCCACACCTATCTCTCTCTTTCATCTTAGCAGCCTCGTGCATTTCTGGGTTGGATTTTAATCTTTCTCTTTCTCTTCTCATACTTAGTTTTTTGTTCTTTCCTCCGTTATATATATCAATATTAGCCGTTTTTCTTGCCAATGTAACTACAAATGTAATTACAATTTAGGAGTTTGGTTTAGCTAAGATGTAGTAGGCCTGATAATAAAAGTTTGGGTAATTTGATTAGATTTAAACATCTACAAATAATCATGTTTTGAAATTCAGCCATTTTTTCATAAGTCTCATCTATTTACTGGGGCTAAAAATTCGTGTATGTGCACTAGGTTTCTTAATAGGCGCCATCAGGAAAGTAAAAGGTTAAATTTGGTTTATTGTTTAAGGTTTAAGGTATCTCTTTCCTTTATAATAAGATTTACTTTTTTTACTAGCCTATTATTTTTGACGCAAGATAAATTAAGTACCAAATTAATTAAATCGTTTTTCAAATTATTTTAGTAGATTAATCATCAAAACACATTTTTTTTAGCATGCAGTTTTAATAATTCAAGCCTTGTTTTATTTACTTGTAGATCTTTCCTCAATAGAATCTATTCTTATAAATTTTAGATTGTAGCAGGTGTAATTTCTAAGTAATGTTTTTGTTGTTATGTGCGGTTAATAGGCGTCTTTAACAGACTAGGTAATTACACCGCCCTATTTAACACTTTTCTTACCAAACATTATGTTTTATTTTTGTCACACTCCCTCTAATGACCTAAAATATAGAAAGGTCAGTTAGTTGTACGACCCAGTTGATGTCACATCGTTAATACCGTAGTGATACTCCCCATCTATTTCAAAGTTGTGTGGCTTTAAGTTTACATTATTGCGGAAATGTACATATTTTGTTGTACAGACTGAAAAGTTTCTAAAAGGTGCCACTTTACACAGCCAGTTTAGGCCTAATACTTACAAGGTTTGTTAACTTTCTTTAAAAATCTACGCGGACCAAAATGCAAAATGATTTTTTGAGAAATTATTTCTCTTTAGTGAATAGTGCTCTCTACATGATTGCAGCATTTCCTGAAAAAAGGTCATTTACGTCGAAATTGAAAACTTTTTTGTACAACAAAGTATGGCCTTTCGTGTTTTTCTCGTTCTGGGTTCCCTTAATGCTAATGACAGTCGCCAAAGCGGTCCAATTTGTTAATCAGCAGAAGTGGGATGAATTTTTGGAAGTGATGCACATGTATTTTTTAGGGACAAATACTTTGTACGTTGTCATTGCAGTGCAGAAAACCGCCATTTACTACAAGACTTGTATGGATATAGTTAGATCACAATTTTTCGCCACAAAGAGGGTGAATATGAGGAAAACTAAGCTGTACGTTGGATTTTTGATCACTTTCGTGGTTTGTTACATTTTCAAAGCAGTTGCTTGTGTTGTTTATCGTGAACTGTCGTTCCAAGTGTGGGTGCCGTTTGTGAACAACGACGAGAAACTTTCAACGCGTGTTTTCACTGTTATTGGTTTCTACCAAATTTTAGCAGCGATTTGCCTTTTTATAGTCAACGGAATCCTCTCACCATTTGTAATCGTTTTAACCAGTGCTGTAGTCAAAGAAATACACTACATCATAGAAAGATTAGATCGCGTAGTTTATAGGTCCGAGGAAACTAAACCCACGAGTTCCTCTGGAATGCAACTATCTGATGTAGAACAAATGTCATTAAAGAGGAAATATCGAAACAGTGTTGAAACAGACACGTCGTCCACTTGCACTACAGAAGAGCAAAGCAGATGTTTTATTCGCAGCATTGTGTCGCACCATTTGATTGTCAAGTCGTTGATACAGAATGTAACCAAGATCCACAAGTATGTGTTTCTGACACAGTTTGTGTTTACAATCAGCCATTCATGTTTCTTAGCGTTCAACGTTTATTACACGAAGAACCACACCAAGATTCTGGTCAAGTACAGTCCCTACCTGCTGCTCTCTTATTACTTGCTGTACATTTTTTGTCACAACGGCCAACGACTCAGTGATGCTTGTGAACGTTTATTCTACGCCTTCTGTTGGTAAATAACTTATAATTAAAGTTTATCATAGAGTAGTACACGTTAACCGCTTGAACCGCAAAGTAGATGACAGATGAATGGGTAAGTGGAAGAACATGATAACAGGCATTTCAAAAATGTTATACTATAAATTTAACTATTATACTATAAATAAACAAACTTCCACGACCGGTAACAAATGTATATTTTGTGATGATTATTTGGCATCGTTTTTAAAATAAAGATTATTTAGTGGTTAATAAAAGGAACATTTAATTTTTAATAGAATTTGATTTTGAATTGTACACCTAAACAAAAGTACTCTGACTTAAATGTTTTATGGTTAATAATCTGACGATAATTCGAGGAGTTATCAAGTTATTTCCCTGTCAAATCCTCAATTTTAAGAAAGAAAACTACTTTACAGAAAAATTTAATTTAATAGAATAAAACGTGAATTAGGCTATATAAAAATGTCATAAAATAAAATTATGTGTTTGATAGTGGCTCTTGGTCCTTATGTGGGTAGTAGCTTTTGGATATACTCAGCTGCTTCTAGTCTCCAAAACCTTTTAAAGATTATTTAGTGGTTAATAAAAGGAACATTTATTTTTTAATAGAATTTGATTTTGAATTGTACACCTAAACAAAAGTACTCTGACTTAAATGTTTTATGGTTAATAACCTGATGATAATTCGAGGAGTTATCAAGTTATTTCCCTGTCAAATCCTCAATTTTAAGAAAGAAAACTACTTTACAGAAAAATTTAATTTAATAGAATAAAACGTGAATTAGGCTATATAAAAATGTCGTAAAATAAAATTATGTGTTTGGCTCTTGGTCCTTATGTGGGTAGTAGCTTTTGGATATACTCAGCTGCTTCTAGTCTCCAAAACCTTTTAGAGTCTGGAGATTTTGGTATTTTTTCTTTAGTGATTGCCTCCAGTTATATATATATATATATATATATATATATATATATATTTAGATATTTATTACGTATTTAGTTATAAAATAAAGCACCTATGCCTATTTTTAACACCGTACTTTAAAAAATAAGATTTTAGGACGAATAAACGAGTAAAATTTGATTTAAAAGAGTAAAATTGTTTTATCAAGAAGTTATAATAAATTTATTCGGGCTAAATTTGTGTAGGCCTACATTTTACAGTGTGCAGTCATTGTTTAAAAGTTGCAGCCTATTCTTACCGTCACATTTTTTGTAAATTCAAGTTTCTTAGATCAGTTGTTAGTAGTGTTCAGGTCTGACATGTTTCATATTTTTCGCCTGATTGTTGTTTATTATCCTGTAGTGTACATTACTTATACTTGTGTTCTGATACAGGTGTCCATGGTACGATTTCCCACTCAGTTATCGCAAGTCACTGTTGATTGCCATGAGTGCTAACCTACAACCCACCGCGTTGACTGGTGGTGGACTGTTCAAAGCAACACTTGCTACATTTGTGCATGGTCTACAGCAATCCGTGTCTTATACTCTTCTCTTGAACCAAGTGGCTCCAGAAAATAACTCACTCTAATTAACCTTGATCAACAGATATCCATTTTTTCACAAAGAGTGTGTATTGAAATTGTAAATAATTGTTAATTGTTCGTTTTTGCATCAGTAGGCTTATGTTTACACATAGTCTAAATAATCATTTTACTATTGTAATAAATAAAAAAAAAGTATGTTTCACGTTCACAATTATTCCCATTTGTTATTATTCTTTGGAGTGTTATGTGTATTAAATTAATAATATGTTTTCTTTGTTACTTTACTAACTTTTAAGAATAAGAATACAAACATTTGAAACTAATTCCGTGAATATAACACAGTATCTATTTCTGATTATGATTCCAAAATATCCAGGAGGAAGGAATATTTATGTAGTCTTTATAGAAATAGAAATATGCCAAACATTTCATGAACATGACTCCACAATGACAATAACTGTCTATAATAAAGATATTTTTTCGATTGTGTCAATTATGGATAATATCTACAGAAAATGTATTAATCTCTGCCAATCAACCATTAATAATTTATGATTCGCTTATCGACACCTTTTGGCAAGGATCTGCATTGGTGAAATTATCTAGTTTTAATTTAAGTTTCTTTAACGTTATATTTTCTCGATTTAAGCATGAGGATTGGGCTTTGAAGATGTATTACAACACAATATTTATAATGCCTCTTATTCTCTTCGTTCTTATAAATAGACGCAATATATTGGTCAAAATGAAGAAACCAAGTATTCAAATAGGCCCTATGCAAGGTTATGAAACCTATTTAACCACCAAAACAACCATCTATGAGAGCTGATCCTACAGAAGCAAAACATTTAACAACACGTATTGCTATAATACAAAACGTAGTATAATTTTCTCTCCTGTGGAAAATATAAGGTACTAAGGTGGGTCCCATGTCACTGAGGAATATGAAAGTCTGATATTTGCATTGATGTACTCGGCCCTTTTGTACGAAAACGAAGTTTCTATTCAATCACTGCAGTTGAGAAACTTGATTTACTGAAACACAAAATGTGTATTCCTCTAGGTTTTTTTTATTTATTGGTTTATCGAGTTGAATAACTTTTGCAATATTCTTTACTATTAAAAAAAAACTTTAAATTTTGTAGTGTATTTTGTTTTTAAGCTTTATGAATATTGGATAATTCTTGTAATCTTTGATTGAGTTTATACTTAACATTTTGGAGAGGTGAATAAACTGTCTAACCCACACAGTAATGGAAAATTTTTGTTTAATCAACATTTTTATCATTCCGTAAGCAGATATATTATTCAGTTTTGATATTTACGGTCTTAATAGATACTTTTGAAACAATCCTTTTTAGAGACAAAAGTGCCTTCTAAGCAAATTAAGCACTTAATTAGTGAAACTATTATCATATTTCTTAATTTGCTAGAGTTTTCCATAATGATCTTGAATATTCTAGTATGTAATCGTTATAATACATTGTATTTTTATTCGGGAAAGGCTACTGCCGCACATTTTTGCTGCTATTCATTAAAAGACCAATTGCTTTTAATAAAAAATATTTACAAACAACGATTACACAATTAATTACAATGGATGTTTAAGTGTTATGAGTGACGTGGCGCGGCGCTGTAAGTGCTTTGATGTGGATGCTGTAACCTGTACACTAATGTAATTAAATTTATCCCCTCAACGGGTTTTACACAATAATTTAAGATCTCTACAGAAAATTATGTATTATTTGTTTAGTATTGATGTCAAATAGGTAGAGTCGATATTAATATCTTTAAAATCCTTAGGAAAGCTCAAATGAGTTTTCAACTCACCTTATTTAATCATTTAAGGTGTATTTTAAATTTTTAACATTGTTAACACAAAATTGAATTTACCCGTCATTTTTAATTTATTACGTTAAAATTGGCCTGTCATTTTTAATTTATTATATAAAAATTGCCATAACTATTTAATATAGTCGTAGAAATTAAACTTTCAAAGACGATTTGAATTTCTATTAGCAAGTTATCTGAATGTAATGTTTTGTAAAATTTCAATTACATTATTCGTTTTTATTTAATTTTACTTTTAAAATTTAGAAGGGCGACATTTAGAGATTTTACATTTGTAGGAGTTCAATTTTGTTTTAAGATAGGTCTTTTTAAGATAGGTCTTTTTAAGATAGAATTGAACAATGTTTTTTACAACACTACATCGTACACAAACAGTATTTTCCTTTCTTAGTTAGTACATCTAAACCTTTCCAAATTGTGTTGTTTCTTCCTTTCTTACGAGGGCCCAGAAGGACCTACACCTTCGTTTTGAATATAATATTCTTTTGCCCTAATATTTTCTTTGTCGTACCACTTTTTAAGAGATGTGAGATGCTCATGTTCTTCTTCATCCCCCGAGTCATCCGTTGCGGACTCATTTTGGCAGTTCATCTAGCAATTTTGGTATCTGGCTATCATTTCTGGTTTATTAAATAAATGTATATTAAATTCTTGTAATTTGAGAAAGGTAGGAATAAATGACAATAGTACAGATAAAATTTGTTTATAAAAGTTGTTCTTAAATTAATTGTAACGCACAATGAACATTATAAATAAAGTGGTAGAATGTAAAATATGTTTATACTATACTATGTAAAACCCGTCGAAATCAAGGGTTGCTTTAAAGGCTTACGACAATTCTTCTAACTGCGACAAAAAGTGTGAAATAAAAAAAGAGCAATTAGCATTGCCTAATGAGTAATAAATATGTGTAGAAACAATAATGACTATTGCTTTAGTTACAAAATATGGTTGATCATTCAATGAATAACATACTTCGTATACTTTCGTTATAGGAGTGTTTGTTCGTATGTAAACTGGTTTATCTTATTTTTGATGAATATAATATAAAGAAGGCACATATATAGGCGCATATGTTGAGAAGGCACATTCTTACTTCAAAGGGAGGCCCACTCTAAAGCTGTGTAAGTTTTATTTTTCTTTCGTCACGTCGGTCATCATACCGTACTTCTGTGCCAATGAATAACCCTCTAAATTTAGCAAAAATATTTTTGTAGCATAACTTCGATTCTATGACATGTGGATGTCTGTTGACTTAAGCCTTATCAATTACATGAAGTGTTCAATATAGTAATCTTCAGAATGTTAGGTGTAGTGAAGCTGGCTTTTTTCTTGAAATGAGGGACCTCGTTCATATGGTTATGCGGCTTCATTGGCAACAAATAATGCAAATGACAAAGCAATGCTGCATTTCCAAAAAGCAAATACTGTAAATTGTTACGTAAATAGTGACGTTTACATGCATTGTTGTTGATCAACTATCTTAGAAAGGATGAGGACATCAAGTTCAAAAGGAACTCGACCTTTCTGTCATGACAGTAACTGCTTAAATGTCAATTACTCTTGGTGAAATTTGTTTGACAGTCAAAGTGTAGTGTTATTTTCACAAATCTCAGATTTTTACAAAAATATAATGCAAAAATTAAATTATGAAAAGGTAACATATATTAATAATCGTTTTAACATGAAAGCTTATATGTTTTTATCACATTTTATTATATTGGATGTTAATAATTGTTTTTAAAATGAACGCTTATCTCTCTTACCTTATAAAGATACCATTGACAATTGCCAGTTTCTAAATAAGTCAGAATGAAGTACATCCCATGTCATCTTCGTCACTCTCGCTGGATGTGTCTTCGTTCCCCGGTGTCAGATTAATAAGACACTGGTGTACACTGCTATGGTCCAGACCTTCCTTCTTCCAGTCGTCGTTGATCACGGTTTTGACGTGCTGCACATATTTTGACCACAAATCTGGATTAACTTTCTCCACCACCTCTTCAAACAGTCTCTTAACATCTTTTATTTTGTGGGATGTGTTGTTTTCCCTTACGTAACCTTTCAGGTACGCCAATGTCATTTCAATCGGGTTGTAATTGCAATGGTGTGGAGGGAGGCGGATTACTTTATGTCCCAACTCAGACGCTCTGCTGTCGATCACATAGCTTGACGTCAGTGGTTTGTGAAGGCGAACTAATCTGTACAACTCTGGTTTGAGGAGATATTCACTAAAAGGAACTTGCCGGGCTTTCAACCAAGTTTTCATCTCTTCTTTGAGAGACGATGAAGTGGGCGCCTTTTCCCTCTTTCGCGAATGGTACTGTGCATTGTCCATAACAATCGTCGAGTTGGGTGGAAGGGTAGGAAGAAGTTAATCAAAAACCAATTCTCAAACACCACACTGTTCATGTCCTCGTGATAGTCCGCAGTTTTCTTTGATTGAAATATTAATGGAGACGCCTTACTCCAGCCACAACTACTTCCTGCGTGACAAATGATTAATCTTCTCAATTTCTTCTCGGGGAAGTTGCTTTGATCAAACATTTTCCATCAAAAACTTGCGGACCAAAACATTTTCAACTATGTCATTTCGGAAGAAAAGGACGGGTCAACCACTAGAAAATACTGTAGCGGGTAAGACGATTGAATTGCTCACCATAGATAGCTAAGCAAGAGCTTATCGAACTACAAAAGAAGTATCTGGAGCAACAACTACATTTTGAAGAGCAGGAGCATGAACTGCGAATGAAATGTATTAGGGAATAACATAAAAAAAACAGTTGAACTTGCTGGATTTGCAATTCAAGAAAGAAGAATTCACCTTAAACAAGTTTTCAAGTTCAGTGTAGTCCCAATAAACTGCTTAGGCTTGGTAACGTCAAGTTCATTTTCCTGTTCGTGTTATGTTGTTTTAAGCTACAGTAACTTATAAATATCTTTAGGCTAATTATAGTCGTTTTGCTGTTTTTTTTTTAGCCTAAGTTATCTGGATATTAAAATAAATATTAATATTTAAAACTGAAGCTGATTTGTTGTCTGTTTTAGTTCACACGTTTCATAATATATTTCATAATAACTAGGAAAACAAGTTATAGGTAACACAATTACTTATTACGACAACATTTTATTTAGGAAGACTTTTGATATAAAATATTCTATATAAAACCGTTTTGGAATTAAACACAAGATA